AACATTTTAATTTTATTTTTCCAAAATTTCTAAAGTTTCATCCTATAAGCATTAGAATCTTTCTGTCCTTGAAAATATAGAAAATATAGTAAACATTTTAATTTTATTTTTCCAAAATTTCTTAAATTTCATCCTATAAGCATTAGAATCTTTCTGGCCTTGAATGGTCATTGACTGAAAAGACATTGTCATTATTGAAAATATATAAGTAAACATTTTAATTTTATTTTTCCAAAAGTTCTTAAATTTCATCCTATAAGCATTAGAACCTTTCTAGCCTTGAATGGTCATTGACTGAAAAGACATTGTCATTATTGAAAATATATAAGTAAACATTTTAATTTTGTTTTTCCAAAATTTCTTAAATTTCATTTTAAAAGCATTAAAATTTAGAGGTCATTGTTTAAGAACATTTGACCAGGTATTGACTATCTGATTAAAAAAAGATTAATTAGGATATTTGATGTAAAGAGATGTATAAGCTTATGGTTCTTGACAAAGTATTCTGTCCTTACATGGTCATTGACTAAAATTGATGTGAAGGTATAAAAATGAAATATGTTTTCATTGGTAAAAATATATAAAAATAAATATTTTCAATAGTAGTAGTAACATTTCCAAAATTCTTCCAATAAGCAACAGAGTGGTAATTAAAAGTCTAGGATTAAATCACTGCTGTTCTAATTATAAGAAATAAAGGGGGAGGTCTTTATCTGAAAAGAAAGGTGATTTAGGATATTAGATACCTATGACGGATTCAGGTTTATATCCAGTACGGTTCTTGACATGTTATCATCCGTACTTGTATTGGTCATTGACTTAAGTTGATGTGAATGTAAAAAAAAGTAAAATAAACAAAAACATTCTATTAAAGTACATTCTCATTGGTATATATAATATTAAACATTTTTAAACCTTGGAGTTTTCCGAAATTCTTTTAAGCACTAAAGTCGTAACGAGAAGTCTAGGAATAAGTCTCTGCTGTTTGTGCTAATATATAGTTTATTGATTAAAAGGAAATGGATTATTACCAAAGAAGCATCGCTTTTGAATTATTAATTTGCCCGTACGACCAGACACATGTGATCAGGAAAGAGAGAATGTCACGCCATTTAATTAAGTGTGCAAAAAATAATAAAACTGTTTTGAAAAACTTTACATCTTGTGATAATCAAACACATAAAATTAAAAGGGGACATGGTAGTAGACATTATGAGCTTTGTGAGGAAAAGCGGCGTTTCGACGAGTGGTTGGAGCGGGATAAAAACTGTACCAAAAAAGGGGACACCTCTCTACCAAATTATAAGGACTGTCCTATATCCTCGGAAGAGAATTGGGACGAGGAGTTGGAACCCTTTTGCGGTGAAAACTTTCTTGGGCTAGTCCCAGATGTGAAAAAAAATAACTGTGATAAAATGTGTATATGAAAAAAGGGGACACTTCTCTCCCTAATTATAACGAAGTCCAAATATCCTCCGAGGAGAACTGGGATGAGGAGTTGATGTTCTAACTTTTTTCGATATTGTTTGTATTTTATTTTGAACCGGAGACATTACATCCCATAGGTATATACAATATTCCCATATAACATTTGTACAGGTTATACAATATACATGTGATAAAAACTTGAACTACTGACTTCGATTTTTTTTCGTAGTAAGAAAGTACTGTGGGTCACTTCCAGACTTAAAAAAATAATGTGCATTTAATTGGATTATTATTATTTGTGTAATGTGTAGCCATATGCAATATAAATTTCATTTATTCTGCTATTTTGTTGTTCTTATTTCACATCCATATAATCATCAAGATCGACGGAGTTAACTGATCTTGGAAATTTGCTAAGAAATATCATTCTTTGTAAGTAATGATGAAGTCAATATATATATAAAATGTAGCAATATGATGCAAGAAAAAAAAAACGGTTGAGACTATTGTACTCCTTTGGTATAAATATATTGTGTAAGCCTTCTGAGTGGGCTGAAACTGCTATAAATATATAGAGAAAGCTCGGAAGGCTTATTCTATATATTTATACCAAAGACTTATGGAGACTCCGCCCACTCGGAAGGCTTACTCTATATATTATACCAAAGGCTCACAGTAGTGTCCGCCCACTCAGAAGGCTTTGGTATAACTATATAGAGTAAGCCTTCCGAAGCCTTCCGAGAGGGCGGAGTCTCCTATAAGCCTTTGGTATAAATACATAAAGTAAGCCTTCCGAGTGGGTGGAGTCTCCATAAGCCTTTGGTATAAATATATAGAGAAAGCCTTTTATCTTATTAGCATAATTGGTAAGAATATATAGTAAAGTGGGCGGATCTTACTATTAATTATAAAGTGTGTTGTAGAGCACCATATATACCACTACTTATCACAGGCTTAGAATATATAATTCATAGAAATTCTTAGAAAAACTGTGATTAAGTATTTATTTTGATGTAATGTAAGATCTCAATGTAAATATGATAGTTTTTGAAAAATCTATCACCTATTACTA